GCTCGGGTCAAAATGAGCTTGTTCATGAATGTGAGTTTGGCTAGGACTGCAGTATCCAGAGTGGGTTTCTTCAGGATTGGTCTTGAGGGAGAAAGGGAAGGGTCCTTCTCTGAATGAGGCAGTGGTAATTCTCATCAGGAATGGCCAGGAACAGTAGGGGCTGGATTCACAGGTCGTGGGCTGAGACTCCTTTGGGGTGCCCAGAATCACATGGAGAGTGGTTTACTAACCTGTGAGAGCGCGGGCAAGCTGGCTGCTATAAAGGGAGTTGGTCTGTGCTCAGCGCCCAGTGCATGCAGGCTGCTGGGTGAGCATGGGAGAGAGCTGACCGACTGTCTTTCCAGTATATTTAATGCACTGCAGTGATGGCTGGCGCACTTGCTCTGCAACACCTGGAGTGTGAAGCGTAGCACTCTGGAACCCTGAGTTATCCAAACACAGTGTGAAAGGCAGCTACGATTGCTAAGGGACAAGAACGGGAAATTCAAAGCCATAAACTACAGCCCTGCATGGATACAAAATTTGTATCCACATCCACGTCTGCAGCTGCACAGATGAGCCGCCGATATCCACAGCCACATTCGCAGATGCCTACGGACATAAAGCAGATATCTGCAGATTTGCAGGGCTCTGCCATAGACCTAGCAAGTGCCATACACAGCAGACTCACCCAAACACACTGTGGAAAACCAACCTGCCCACCATAAAGCCAGCCAAAGCACCACATGCTGAACCAAACCCCACAAACCCATGCTAGCTGTCAGGGGGGTTACGCACCGGAATAAATCACTTGCACACCAAAGATCAGCACGGCCCCTATCACCCTCATTGTTAGTGACAGCCACTGCCACAACACATGCCACGACTGACCACCCCATCCCCACGCCCCTCCCACACTGCTAGTAACAGGAGGACCATAAACCCACGGGAAAATGGAACACTGCCTAGGGCTGGCTCGAGCGCCTCCCTCCATCACTCATCTGCCTGCCCATCTCCTGCCTGGGGATGGCCTCACTTGCTTGTCCACTTGAGGCTGTCGCCATTCCTCTACACTGCACCCCACTTCTGCCAGAAGCCAGCAGGGCTCAAAAAGTGACCGTCTCGGATAAAACGGGATATACGGTCACCCCAGCTTTAACTAACATTCCTCCAGCCAATGTACAGACGGTCACGCCAGCACCAGCACCACATCCCCATGGCATGATTGACAGATGCATATGCTGAAATGCCCCAGTCTGAGGCAAATACCTGGGAGGCAGGGGGAAGTCCCACTACCTATCGACACTTACAAACACCCACACCTAGCACAAGCCTGGCCAGCTGGGCAGTCAGTTACATGAATGCAAACTAAGGCAATAAACCAAAACACTCTCCACTCAAACAGCATCCGTCCATGTCGCTCTGCAAGGGCAGAGTTAAGATTGTGACTTGACCTGCCATCACTCCACAAGGTTAATCAGTTGTTTCAGGTACATGAAACTTCTGCTGTTGCCATAGAGATAAATGTGTTTATTTTGTGTAAACTCGCTGGATGAGGTGAGCTTCTTGCTGGGCAGGCTCGGATGAGGCCACGTGCGGTGCCTTTTAACAGAAGGGGCCTCAAACAAAGGGGAGACTGTCCGAAAGGTGCACTTTGCAACTCTCATTTAACCCCAAGGACCTAGTAATGGCCAGGCAGGCCCAGCCAGACGACTGCAAAGGGCCCACAGAAAGGGAACTCCCACTGCAATCCCAGCTGTGCAGTCAGCACCAGTGCCCAAGGAAAGGAGCCCTTAGCACCAATGCAGGCCAGCGCCACATGGCTGGGGTGCACAAGGACTGCAGCAGGGTCACACTGCAAGCCCCCAGCCAACTGTAAGGCTGACCGTAGCCCTCTGGCTGCCAAGCCTGCATCCCACAGCATGGTCTTGTCAGGCCAGCACTGAATGGCAGCTTTGCTCCACTCTCGTGCGGAGCCAGGAGCGACCCGAGGCGGGCTGCAGCAGCTGGCGCCCTAGGCAGAGGCGCTATCAGTGCCCCCACCTACACGGCCGTCAATGGCCATGACGTCATCATCGGGCGCCCGGGCCAGCAGCGCCCTAGGCAGCTCCCTAGCTTGCCTAGGCTCACGGGGTCCTCCCTGCATGAGTGTAATGTATCATATGTGTATGATAAAGTGTTGATTGATCTATGCATGTTCAATAAATGTGGCATGTTGCTTTATCCCCCTGAAAAAGATCCCGGGTGCTTCTTATGGCCTAGCAGAGGGAAGGCTGCTCAGAGGCCTGTTCTCTCTCGCCCGTCCAAACAGAGCTGACACAGGAAAGGATAAACATGAGCTTCCATCAGGCCCTCTCCCCCTCTTCCGCCACGAAGGCCTTGTCTACACTATGAGGGATTTTTAGGGCCCTGTTTTGCAGTCAAAGCGCTGTCCCCGCTGTGCGATGCACTGTGGGGAGCTAGCCCAGGTTCTGCCACCCCTCTGCATTCTGGGTCAGGCTCCCAGCGCCTGATGGACTGGAGCAGCGCAGTGTCCCAGAATGCACTCCTCTCCTTTATGGCCACTTGCTGGAGACGCTGCAGAGGAGCAGAGAGGTGAAAT